GCGTTGGCATTGTGGTGTCTGTTGTAATTTATCGTACCCGACGTATATAGGGTAATGCCAAATTCACTGTTAGAATTGTACTCGTCTTTGCAGCCCTGCACTATTTATTCTTATCTTCTACGATTACAATTTTCGAACAAATCAGATGGAGGGCGAAATGATGCCTTTAGTACAGATGCGATAGAAGTTCTGAAAGTGGTTGGGGTGCTTCTCAGTGACATGGTCTTGCATTTGTAAACCTTGTCGCATGAAAATCCATCTGTCACCTGTCCTTAGGTGCAACCTCTTCCTTTCATTGTCAGGACTAGGTTGTAGACCGACAGGCCTGCAGCGATTGTTAGCACGTTCAAGGTTATGTAGTTATGAGGAAGTGGGATAAAACATTTGGCTACATGCGACTAGTATAATTGCAAGCCCCAAAGGCGATGAAAAATGATGAATGGCTTGTCTCTTCAGCCATCGTTAAATGACCTTCAGTCTCTTTTTTAAATCACACAAATACTAGACAGAGTAGCCGACTGACTGGTTGACAGGATCCTATGTTAATTGTCTGCTTCGGAATGTCCAGCCTAGGAACTCACTGTAATTTTTGTGGACACGAGCAGCACGAGTGTGGAGTCACGAGCAGCAAACACTCACACCCACATATCACAAACACCTGTTGTGTCGTAGTCTACAGAAGACTTGGTCGCGCCTTAGAACTCAGAGCAGGGGATGTACTGTCGCCGAAACCAGGGCATGCATAAGATGAAGGCTGAAACCCCTAATCGCCTAGTAGTTGTTCGCGGCATTACTGTGATCATGTTTAATATGGACGAACTTATGACATTTCAGACAGTTACTAGCTGTTTTGACAGATTTTGGATAATTCATTTTGGTCCAAATATGAAAAACGCGACGACCAGTGCGATTTGAAAACACGACAACCAGAGGGAAGATTGAGCACAGCCAACTGTTGGGTCAAAATAAATTAATATCTGTCGAAACGCCTGTTAATGACTTGCGTCTGGTAGTCATCTGATAAATTCTAGATTGAATACTCAAGAAATTCTGCTTGGACAGTCTGTTTACTGTATCAACTTTGGTGGATTTCATACACTGCAGTAAGCTGGACAGATAACTTGACCCAAATGTGACTAAACTGGTGGCTCCCGGTGTTGCTTCGTAGTTCAGGTGGCTAGAGCGTCAGCCGTACTTAAGCCTTCCCCATTTTGTCATGGGTTCGAGCCTCATCGACGTCGCCGCGTTTTCGCAGCTGCGTCAAATTAAAAATCCTGGACTACCTCACCATGTGTGGCTGCGGCTACGGATCTGGGAAACACCACCCACTGTATCCTCTAGCAAAGGAGACCGAGTACCTAAGGTCCATGATACGCATCCGCGTCTTGGAATACGGTGTTGAACCATGTTTTGAACTGTTCTCCCTTACAACGTTTCCATGCGCGCATCGACGTCGGACTGAGGACAGAAAGACTGGACTTACGGGATTGGCGACCAATAACGTGTCCAGAACACCTCATTTGGCTTTCCTGGATGGCCTGAGCCATCCTCGCAATGTCGCAGTCTGCAAGGACTTTCTCATTCTAAGCGAATTCAGCGTACCTTACTTAAAGCATGACCCTTAAGTAGAGGTGGCTAAACACCCCCCCCCTCCCAGTTCTCGTCTGCTCCCGCCTAGGTGCCCTGTTGTTGTACAGCCGCCGCATTACACTGACGGTTTCTTTCCTGAGGAGAGCGGCCATCTGACACTAAGGTAGGAAGTTGTGGATCGGTCATCGAAGGTGATAAGGTACTCGACCTTGTCAGCGTATTTAGGAATAAGGCCGCCACACACCGCAAAAACAGTCACTCACTAGAAAGGCCTGCCGCCAACTTGACGAATACCTTACAAGTATTCTCGAGTATTGTCGATGTATGAAGCTTGCTCCACGAAGGTCTCCACTCCAACCCAACCGAATCGGCAGTCATCTCTAGCCGACCTTGTCGGCACTTCCCGAATATGACGGAAGGATTTGTCGTTGTGGGAACTAGCGCGAACTGTTCATTTCGATAACTGTAAGGTATTTGGACTGATTTAGTCACTGTGACGCTGCTAGTTGAAACTGAAAACTCAGCTGTTTTATGGACTAAGGGCCTCAATGATATCCATTTGCCGCCGTTTCCTCCTTTGATTAAAGTCACAAAGCGAGCCGCATTTCTTTGCTTAGAGGTTCGGTTTTTTGGGTAGGCATAGTTTTTTTACCGGCCGTCTTGTTTGTGACAATTTGAGCACGATTGAGGTAAATTTTCAAGCATATTCGAACCAGAACATGGTCTAGTGCACAGGCAGTGACACTCTTGGCACCACGTATCGATCTGCCAATATGAAACCAGTCACGGAACCTAGCACTGACTGGAACGTAATCCGGCTTGCCATAAGACGATCGTTTGAATACCAGATCGATAATAGGGCTGTTTTGAGAGCCGCCTGGCCCAGTCAGGTCATCCCAGCCTCTGGCAACTATCAGTCGATCACGACAAGGGAGTATTTGAACTAGCATCATGCTGGCACTTAAACAGAAACGATAGGATAATTATAAAGTGCCTTTTCAGTCTTCCGCGAATCAGTCGGCCATGGAGTGGTTCCCACACAAGCAGTGCATGGTTCGTTTGTTGTCCGGTAGGATCTCACTGTGTGTGCTAGAAGAATTCTGAATGCTGCTGTGATATGGAGTAAGCTGAGGGTTGACACCTGAAATCTTAATAGCTCGAGAGTTTGAGTCGGGGATTTGGACTTCAGACAGATAGTAGACATCGACGTTTGGTAGCTGAAGCGAAAAGGCGAGTTCCAGGAAGTAATCGCGAAGGAGACACGGTCGCTAGAACAAGAACTTTACTAACTTGACGTTTCAGATTTTCGCTCGAATCCATAGTCAAATACAGAGTCGGATACGGGTATTGGATTGCCCAGGTGTTGCAGTATTTCTAGAATGTAGTTGCTAGGCCGTCACATGCCAATAACAGTTAGCAACCCTCGAGTGCATCACGACTCCACTGGTCAGATGTTGAAGTCTGCAGTTGCTGTGCGCCGGTTTCGTCGATGAAAACTACGCGTCGTCAGACCTTGAGTACCAGAAACCGGGGACTTTTGTGTATTTCAGCATCCAACACAAAGCGTCCATCCCCGTTTGAGGGGTCCAGCTCGCATGACTTTCACCCACACAACCGCACAAAGGTTGCAGAGCATTTCGGTCCGCAAGGACGTCGTGGTACAGATTGCAATATTGTGTTTGGACATTTTTCATGTGAGCTCACTTGGTGATTTTAAGTACAGTCCGGTGATCTCCTGTAGCACTTGTCCGCGAGCCCAGTCGCAGGGTAGCAGTTACAATCAAACTTACTTAATGATGGTTTACGATCGCAACGTCACGATTTTATTATCGGGCTTTTTGGCCTTGCGTAAACTCAGATCTATTTCGTGAATACTGCGTACTCGTTTGCCACAGCCCCTCCTCAGATTTTCATGTGTCTACGCTGCACCATCCACTCACCATTTCTAAATGTTTTTGAGTTATATCCACGACCGGGGAACCGGTTTTTGAGGTGGGCTTCAGTCTTCCTATCCCTTTGCCTCGGTTTTTTCATAATTGGAAGGGTACATAATGGCTGTTCTGTCGTCGTTGCCGACGGTGTCCGCCGTTTACTCCACGGCATGGTGAAGCAGGGATGGTGACTTATGCATGAATTAATTTATTGTGAATGCAGACTTGCACAGCATCTACCGCACTCTCTCCTCCCCCCACACCTGGAATCGGTGTCCAGACAGAGCTAAGGAGACTGAAGGCGGGTGGCACGGTCGAGTCACTCCACACCCCATGGTCCACACAGCAAATGACCAGCAACAAAAGGGTGGCTGGCAAGGCCGGAGCCCCACCTAGGCGTGCCGTCACACCTGGCTCGGATCCCAATAGGTGGGAGTGCGATTGTCTAAAAGTTAACAGCCATAAATTCTAGTATACGATGTCCAATGAGAGAGCAGTTTCCGTTCTAGCAATGTGTATAACATATCCAGTACGTGTAACTATTACTGTGGACATAAGAGTCATCTTCTCGGGGCGTCCTTATATGTGCCTGAAATTTCTTTCTGATAGCGTGATTCTTTTCCCAGTCATAGTTAAGCACTACTCTACAGCATGTCTCGACGGCGTCACAGGTGGGTTGGAAGGACATTTCATTGACTGCTGAAGCTGTGCTCAGTATGATGACTCTCGAACTTGAGCTGTTATCGAGACAAGTATAAAATTGACCGAAAAAAATAAAACTGGTGGGGACGATCTGTACAACGGAAAGCATACGAGAAAATCACGTACTTGAGTAAACGGGTGAAATAAAGATTCACAAGAAATTCTTTTGTGAGAAAACATGCCTTCTCGTCTTCACTTCCAACCTCTAGTTCGATTTTAGAAGACCTTTCCCAACGGGAGAATCGAACTGTGCATATACTTGTGATGTGGAAAAGTTCTTGCCTACGTTGTGCGGCGTTAGCCAAAAAATCGAGGGCCATAGGTAAGTTGTCGCCAACATCAGCCCTGCCATCGATGCGTATAGCGTTTGTCTACTTGTAGTAAGGTCAGGCCTATTCTAGGTTTTGCTGAACTATGTGTTATGGACACGGGGGACAGCCAAGGCTGCTAGCCCATATAACCTAACTTATTTCAAGTTTATCAGGCAGGTTCATCGCATGAACAGATGGAAAGAGTGGGATGCATCAGCTCGTGTCGGCTTGAACTGAAAGACATGTTTAGTTGGCTCTACCATGTTCGTACCGCGAAGTCCTCCGTCTTGCTAACATTTAGCTTACGCTTATGTTTGTCTGCACTAGCAGTCGCGCGTGTTTTCGATCGTTTTCCAAACCACTGCATGCAATTTGCTTAAGCCACAAGTGCTCAGACTTTCCAACCTCTCTTTCACACCTTCCGATCCAGATTATCGTGCCCTTTCTTCCTAACCATCTTCCAAGTATGCCGCTTTCGGACCAACGCCTAAAGGATCTCAAGGCCTGCATCCTTGCGTTTCACCAACATCCTGGCCAGCCGATCGATGACACGCACCCTACCATGATCAATTTTTTCTCCACCCTGGAACGAATATTTCGACATGGCTTAAAGAATGGAACATCGCGAGACCTCTGGAATTGGATAGAAAGGCTTCCATCCTATACGTCCGATTCGGGTTATTATATTCCTTATCAGTTGTTGAAGGCCATCAACGAAGTGAGTGCTCCATATGCTGTCTCAGCCTACTTTCAACATCTCTATTCCAATGTTCACTTATTGTCGCTTTACCTAGTGCTTAATACGTTTTAAGATGATAACTGTGGACCCTATAAACCTGCGGAGACAGAAACCATCTTACTGTCATTGTTTGTCATGGACTGTTGGTATCCTTTAGAGTTTTCTAGATTCAGTGCTGGTTTATTCACCGGAATAGACGCACCCGAGGTCAAAGCTATGTCAGAAGACAGTAAGGATAACTCGGTTATTTTTTGTGGTTCTATAGCAATAAACAGTAAGATTAGCGGAGCACAATAGAGTTAATAAGGCAGGAAATAATTTGAAAGTGGACGTACATTCGAGGTGATAAGACTAGCAGTCAGCGAATGACGCCAAAGTGTGGTGGTCGGTTCATAAGCGAGCGGCAACAAAGAGCGATAGACAATGGACAAATAACAATGAACAAAGAATGACGAGACCCGACGAATAGGGATAGAGACAAAGACAGGTAGAATGAGTAAAGTCTGGTTACTAACAAACAGTTAGTAGCAAAGGGAAAGACAAGAATAGAAACTGACATCAGGGATGTCACATAGACCGCTAGGTTGTTTTTAAAATTCCCGCCACACGTATTATCTACAAGGCACGGTTATCCTTATCGTTGTTTGCGCAGGAAGAGACGTCGGTTGAGAGGCTGGTCCAGGTAAACGCAGCGTTGCCAAAAACAGCTAAGGCCTACGGAAGTTCGGCTTTAACTGCAAGGTTGCTGTTTGTTCCGCTTCGTCGTATTGGGCGATTTCCTTTCCCCAATGAAGGCTGGTTGGCGCTGCATGATGCTGCGCTGATTATACCCGACGTAGCTGGTCGGGGACGGTACTAGGAGTGAAGAGGATGGCGAAATCAGCAGCGAGCGCATTAATACAGTCCACTGATGGCTCTGTACACCGATATTAAGTGACCGGCTCGTCCAAAGCGTTTGCCTGTAATTGTCAGTCCGGACGCCAGACCAGGCAATTAAAACCACCATGCAGGAACAGGCTCAATTGTAGTGGCGACCAGCTGCAGTCGTAAAAAGATTTTATGTCTCCATAATCCTCAGATTAGATTATTCTCTTTAAATGAACGTTGATTGACATTCCTCAATTCCACGTCCATATATTCAGAGTGATTTTCGTTGTACTGGAACCAACCACCATAGATAGTGATTGTGTAGGTGAACGTGGTATAGGTCATGGCTGGCGAAACGGTATGCATGCCAGAAGGCAGCGACATTTGTGCAGCCAGGTTTTGCAACTCCCATTTTGTGTCCTCCACTCAGTATAGCCCACTTGGATGTGGCAGACACCGCAAGGATAGGCGAGCTTGTGAGCTCTTCTACCCAGCGGAAGTAGATGTAAGCAGACAAAGTGATTGGTTATGACTATTCCAACATAGAGGTGGGTTTGGCTTATTGGTAGTTGCCTTCTTTCTGCGTGAGACGGCCCGTTACCCACTGTAATGCTGCGCACCATCGCTAATGTTTTGCAACCGTTCCCAAATGATCAGCGTCGTTTACGGATTCCGATTGTCTCATGCTCGTTCAATTCCAAATCTTCCGCACTCTGTCCTCCCCCATCTGGGCCCCGTGTCAAAACATAGCCAAGAAGACCAGGGACGGGAAAGGGGGCAGTTGGCTGGCACGGCCAAACCCGCACCTAGGCGTACCACGACATTCCTTGGTCCACAGTAAACACTCGACCAACAACAAGAGCGACGGCTGAAACTGCCGGAGCCGCCGCCACACTTGGCTCGGATCCCACTAGGTGGGAGTACGGTAGACAATGACAAGATGTACAAAAAGTGACTACAATGTTATGTCCTACTTTACACGTGCTAGGCTTCTGTAGGCCCTCTCTACTCCTGGTTATGTGTAAAAGGAATATTATCTTATGCCTACATTCTGCAGAGGTTTGTTACCTTCGTTTCCCAGACAGTGTGTGCGCTTTTGATCAACTAAAATGACAAACCGCCATCGTTCTAAAACGATGCCCGGTTTGTCAGAACCGGCGACTGCTATGAGTTGAAGATGACAAATGCTGTTGACATGCCCATTTTATATTCGAGAGAGTAACGTTGCCAATGAAAAACAGAGACATTTAGCATACATGCAAAAATATGAGTAAAATGTCAGTAGCCGAAAAGACAAAAGTAAAAAGGCACAACTTTTTGTCAAACTGGAATTTGTGCAGTCTTGCGCACCAGTTCTGGTGGCGAGTCGTTAGTCGCAAACGAGGCGAAGAAGCCGTTCTTTGACTCCGGCATAAAATGCTCATAATTTAGAGGATTTGCCATCTCCAAACTGAACTGGGAAAACAGCAAGCTCTGTCTGCCGAGATAAGAATAAAATTCTGGAATGTGCATGTTAGATTCGGGACGTCGGTATTTCAGTCCGAAAACCATATTCTCCAGCCACTCGTTTTTGAACAAAAAATTCGTCTCTTGCATTTAGCAAATCTGATGTTTAGCGAGTAAGTTATGTCTATATGTTGAAACTTATTAATTAGGATCGTTCTAAATAGCAACTCTGATCACCACTTATGTATGTAATCATTAGCCTTTTTCATCTGTAGTAATATCTTTGGTAGTAGAAGGCGACCTCCACAAAAATATCGATTTTTTTAGCCTAGGCCACTTTTGGTTGACCGCTGTTCTTCATTATCGGGCTCTAGGGCAGGTTAGATCACGAATACATTTCGTCCAGCTATTTTCCAGCTCCGACTAATTGCTTTGTCCTCGCGTTAGTCATTGATCCAGGAACTCGGCTATGGTATGACCACCTTGTAAACTTTGTAAGTTTGCAGTCTACGCAGAGTGAGATGGTTATCTGGGTTCTACTTCGACCTAGATTGCACCATAGGTTGACGTGATGTACCTACTTGATGCAGATTTTACGTTTGTTTTGACCTTGTCCACGCTATAGGACAGTCATGTCCTTAAATGACTTGGCGGTTGCACGTTTATTGTCAAAATCTGCAAGTCCGTCGACAGTTCAGGATATCCCAGTCGATGCCTCCTGCTCCATTTCCGAGGATCCTATTGTATGTGTCGCATTAATTTTTTTCCTATTAGGCCAAAAAGTCCTCTCGTGTAACTACTGCTCAGGGAAAAGGCCGACTCTTCTTGCGTACTTTGGTGCATCGGAAATTGCTTGAGAATTTGCTGCAACTGTTGCGGGACAACCCAGTCCTTGTCTTGCGCCACTACGAGATTGAAAATAGCCTGTTTACGGACGATATCCTTTCGGAGATCCTACGTTCTCTGTTTGCAGAACTCGCTCGCCTTGACTTTCAGCTGGACCTCGACAACGCCGACTTTCTGGACGAGACTTGGGAATTGGCTGTGATGAAAGAGCTTCAGTTCGTTCCATGCAGGTGGATTCTCCTTCGCTGCCCTTCCTTTTTTCTTACTTTGGCGCACTGTTTTGACACTTTTCGCCACCTTACCATGGAGCTAAACAAAAGCCTTTGTGCCGACACTCGATTGCTTAGTTAAGATCTACCTACTAGTTATTGACAGTTGAATTCAGAAGGCGGTGCTATATGCTACGTCTGTCATCATCGCAGCCCTTTGACGGGCGCCCAGCTCGCTCAGTTGCGGTTTCTTGGTGCAGACTGGGAGTTGAGGAAGGCTCCTGCGCAGTGGAACTACAGTTGGGCCGAACTGGGGCACCTGCAGCATTCCATCTCACCAAACAAAAGGATCCGATGAAAACCGTTTCAGTTTTGTTGCTAATTCAGTAATGTTGCTAATTAGCCGACAACATTCTGAGCTATGACTCCTCGTTAAAGTCCTCAATCACTTCTTAACTCACCTATTCTTGCAGGTATCATTAGTGATGCGATCGACGGTTGAGATTGCTGTTGGCTGAGGAATTGCTCTTCTGAGCCTCGCTGGTGCACGGCAGGCTCAACCAAAAAGACGAACTATAGCTCCCCCTCTCTCTTCCCGGTCATCCTGAGCTGTTTGACTCACTAGTTGCCAAGCAGCAGTTGTGTGTGGCGGTCTAGTTGAGCGGAGGTCCTCTGTAGTGTTTGGATTTGAAGGTAAGCATCTCCATTCACCTTCACGGTATGACAACTAGAGGTCGAATTGCGCTGGATGGTGGGTTAGACATTACGTGATGGCAAACAACAGTTCCTTCCTCGTGGCATCCATACGGTTTTCGACCTATCTGCCAGACTGGTCCCTAGCTCCTCATGAAGGTTTTGACTCGGCGGCTTGTTCATCGGAACCGAGAACCCGCTTATTTTGCAACCAAATCTTCCGTAATGATCGTTTTAGCCACCCATTGAGACACGAGGTAGCTCGCGGCTAGCCTAGTCTTTTCAGGATTCTTGTCGTCTCGGGAGGAGTACTGGTCTCGGCTACTTCGAACCTAGCACCCTGAATTTTTTACTTGCAACAGTGCCGATGGCGAGGAAATCATGCGAAAAGCGTTGCATCGGCAAACCTACTGTGGTGGTAGCTAACAGCCTCCAGATACCATGTCGGATTTAACATTGGGAACCTCTGATTTCCTAAGAAATGACCAAGTTGCCTTTTGACGCATGCTTTTGACGTAAAATACTACTGATAATCGATTTGCGGGTGTCTCCTAGTGCAAAGAACGTATAAATATTCAAATAATTTGGCCAGTGTGTTCCAACGTGTGTTTCTGCTTCAGGTTAGAATTTCAGAAACCAGTAGGTGGAAAGTTTTAGCCTATACCATGAGCTTGTGTGGTGAGTCCTATTTTACGGTTACTTAGGCCTAAACTAATCTGCACTTGCTTTGTACCTGGTAGCTTTGTTAGAAGCCCAACCTCGTCAGTTGTCTGTAGCATGCCAGTTCTCAAAAGAAGACATGCTTACATAACCTACACACAAAAACTCCCGCCTGAGACATGTCTGTGAGTCATAGGTTTGAGTTAACTGACCCGGTCATGGGGTGTTTTTTTGCTTGTAATGCTTCTGCTGAACTTTCGTCGGGTAAGTAATGGTCATATAGTTAGCGTGGTTACCCTATGCGAAGAAAATGGTAAAACAAGGTGTCCATACAGTTTTCTTGTAAGCCTCTCATTTTTTTTCCATCCAAAACCTGCGATTTTTATGTGCATCGTTGCCTGCGACTCTTGCTTCCCCATCTCTTTGTAGTCAACAGTAATCCTTTTTGGGTGATATTTGAATGCTTACGCGAGGACGGCTTGTCAAAGTCTTGCACTATATGGCGAAAGCCAGCATAAGTTTCACTCTATCGCCAGTTTTCCAGCCGAACCTTCCAGTCTTTGCACGTAGGTCATTTCAGGTGCATTGAGTCGGTGAGTTTCATGCACCTGATATACTTTCCCTGAACTTCTCTCCTTTGTTCAGCCGTCTAGGTCTTGGAGTGCAGATCTGTGGAAAACACTACATTGTGACCGACATAAAGCCCTATTCCTTCGTGCTAGACGAGGACAGTGTAGAATTGGGCGACGTTATCAGCGAGTTCGTTGGTCGGCCGCTCCATGGAACTGCCCTCGATCTGAAACAACTTCTTATTCACCATGGTCGTCGGCCAATTACAATGAAAGTGGTTAAACTCCGATCACCCAGTGGCCATCTCTTTCAACCTCTCGTGGCAGTACTTCTAAACTCTAACCTGGAGAGACTCTTGGCGAGAGTCAATTCCCCACCGGCGGGTATTGTGTTTTCACTTACCTAATTTGTTTTTTTTGAAAGGTATTTTAGTCCCATGGCCTCATCCTTAAGTCAAAATTTCGTCACATTCCGAAATTGTGTAACTTATGCATACCGCGTGTCATTGCTGCTGTTTATGCTAACACCGTCACATTAATGTCTTCTGCGCCAGAAGCCTTTAACGCCATGCGCTGGTAAAATGTTCTTGATTCATTTATTGTGCGAGAGGAAAAAACGCCTTATTTTGACACAAGTTTCTCATTTTTTTCGGCAAAAAGCGTCCTCCATCCACCACGGCTGAAACATTAATGGACGAATGTCAGGAATAAAAAGAGACCACATGTAAGGGTGTGCGATTGTCAGAGTGCAGTGTCAGGTCTCTTGTATTTCGGTCTCATCTCTTGTGGGGAAGTCGTCCAAGGAGGGTATGCCTGATCGTCAGCAAGCTGATATTACGATGAACCTGTGCTTAGTTAGATGGATAATCTTTTCAATAAAAAGTAACACTGTCTTTGGCAGTACGTTTACATTCGAAGGTAGATTAGCCAATACCAGAAACATGCTTTATACACAAATCCTTGTCTATTTTTCATCTTTCGCATTTGTTTCATTTTTCAAATGACGTCATTCGACTGTAGCGCAATTGACGCTGCAACAAAAACACATGTTTATTAGTCGCTGCATGAGGTAGCAGCAGTGAGAAGCACCATTTCTGCTTTACCTTCGTTTATAATGGTTGAAATACTAATTTCATAAATTTGTGTTACTAACTCAAAATGAGCAGTAAACGAGAGCATGTTAGACGTCGTAGCCCAGGTTTTATAGCAAAATAGAGCCGAGAATGTTCCGACAAGTTCAGCAACTGTCCCTTTGTTTTTAATGCCTTAGTAAATGTCTCTCCGCTGTCAAGGCACTTTGCCACTTGTTTGTTTGATAGCTCATCCGTTTTCACTCCCTGTCCTATTCGGTATGACGAAGTACCCATTGATAAACTATTCTTCGTTTCTACGATAAAAAGTTTCAACTAATGTGAATTGCATGCCTTTTTTGTCCCAACCGACCAGCTGCACACTAAAAACGGCTTGATAGTGCAGGTTTATGAGTTGCTTTCTAAATTTGGATGCTTTCCAACGGAGGAAGTTGTTACTCCCACATTTATCTACCATTCGTCGACAGAATCTACGGATGGAAGCACTGAGTACGACTCTCAATGGCCAGTCGAAGAGGATCTCATATACCCCGAATCGGCGTGTTCATCGACCTCGCGCGTGAAACACCGTATGCGATATGCAGGTTGCTGTAGCGTCGGTCCAAATGGCAGCATCCGGTTTATGCCAGAGGCCATTTTGCACGTGCTAAATCTGAACCCAGATCCCCGGAAATATCTTCCTGTCTCTCTGATAGCCGGTAAGCTGTGTGCTTTGTTTATAGCTAAAAAACGAAACGCTGCATTTAAAACCACTGCCAATACCCTTGTTTGGCTGTTACGACCCGTCGAATAGGTGAAAAATAAATAAGTTTGGTACGTGCCGGGCGATACATTTTACACTATCTCGTAGGAGTGATGTTCTAAAAGATCGCACTCGTGATTGTCAGCCCCCTCTATCAGTTCTCTCCACCGAACTCCTAAAGTTAAAAGATATACTACCAAGGCGGTATAAACACCATGTGCATCTAACCTAAAAAGAAGCTGGTTTTGTTGACTTTGGTACAGTAGGCTACTTCATTCATAAATAGTGGCGATCGAAATCCATGTTAAAAATTATGAGTTTTGCCTATTATCTGTAGACGTTCGGGAAAAACCCTTTTTCTCATGCAGAACATATTTCTGTGGTATCATGGCAGCAAGGAAGTTCATATTTTGGCGGAAAGCAAAGATACCTTTAATCGTTGGCGATTTTCTATGCTACCGACTGTCTTAGGCTACATCTGCGCACCTCTGTGTTTTTTAAGTAGAGCGGGTTATTCTGTACGAGAAGTGTTTACCAAAGCAGCCGTCGCCAATTTGAAAATTGATGTTTTAGATCGCGTATGCCAGGTGAAGCAGGATGCGAATGAGGAGGTTGGTTCTATAGGAACATATTTTTAAAATTTAGGATTCATATACCTGGGCACTTTCATGCCCTAAAATCCGCTAATAACGCCCACAGGCAACTCTCAATTCAACACGCCCGTAATTTCCAGGCATGGGGAAATATCCTAATTAGTAACCGCTAAAGACCCTGCCATCAAGCGGCCGTGTCAGCTTTTAAGAATAGGGTAAGTTGCTGTTTGCGCAGTCTAGCTTCTGCTACTACGCAATTTAGAAACTTAACGTGCACAGCCCTAGCCAGACGAGCAGCGTTTTAGTCCTTGTATTAACAATCAATAGGGCATTTGTGATCTTAGAAAAAGCTCAGAAGTAAGCATATATGACGAAAGGGCTCCAATTTAAAGAGAAGAGATGGTTTTGCCATTTTTTTCGGATAGTTCATAAGCAAGCAAATTGTTCAAATTTTATTCCTGACATTGCCTTAGAAAAGATGAGAGATGTAGACATTCATCAGCTAAATGCCCCCAATTAAGCGCCTCTTGAGGAGATAACTTATTTGGGGAGTTTCTTCGATTTATCAAGAACATTTTCACCACATGCCTTCGTTTTTGAACTCTTCTTTCATCAACGATTAAGCCTTATGCTTGTGCGAGTCTGTAAATTGTACCCAAGCCGTCATCTGCGTAAAAATGAACGTCCGAGAGCGTAGCGCTAAAGAAAACGTTTTCAAGAATTTCCCTGTTTTTGAGGTTTCCATATGCACAAATTACATCCAACTATAAACACTGGAAGCCGCAAAACGTCCGCTGACTTTTCAAGGACGCCAGGAATCTTTGCAGACGCCACCTTCTCCAGAAAGCGCACACTAATTTTAGGAAGAAAAGTATTCCTGGTACACAAAAGACGGTATATTTTGGGTCTAATCCGCCAATGTTACTCCACTTTCTCGATCTCTCGACATGACGACAGGTCGACCGTCGTTCCTGGCGATGTCGATAGTCTGCTTCACAGCAAGATAGCGTCGGGGATGGTGAAGTGCACGTTAATTCGCCTGTAGTGAACTTACCCATTTAACACGAATGTTCAAGCTTAAGGCGCATCCGCTTTTCTTAAAAAGAGGGAGTTAAATGTGGGAATAAGTAAACCCTCTTCTGTAGGTGAACTTATGCTGAATCCCGTTGGGTTTACTCATTCTCGTATCCTGACTTTAACACTAACCATCCTGACCCTAACTAATACCACAACCCGCCCAACCTTAAAATTAACATTACTCCAACCCCAGCCTTTTAGGAATTTGGCGTAGGACCATACGCAATACAGTGGGCACTCATCCTTGTGACCTGCCGAAAATTGTTATTGATAACCAGCGCTCCATTTTTCAATGCTTTTTGTGTTTCCATTTGACTGTGGGTCGCTCACTATTAATTCGGAGTCGATGCATCTGAGCTGGCCGTAATTGTGACTAGGGAGTTAATTTACTTGCAGTTAATAAGTTCCGTCACATATGGTACCTATGCCAGTTTAGAGAAACAGTACGCACAAAAAGTACGTGTGGTAGCTTTGCTTGTCCTTCATGACCCAACCCGTTTTTTCGACCTGACCATCGGCATAGTCGCTTATTCAAAAACCGCGAATTTCTCCCATGTCCGTGCGCATAAATGTGACCTGTTTGCCTCTACTCTCCTTCTCTGCACGCAAGGTGAACTGGACTTCTCCATTTGGCGTTTGGACTCACAGAGGGGAGACATGCAGGTCGAGGAAGTGGCAGCAGGAGAGGAGGCGTTGCCCATCCTTCGGCACACTTACCCCCAGGTATCAGCCGTGGGTCGTCGGAGAGACAAGCCGCGCTATGTGGCCTACATCGCCGGCGAAACAACTTGCACCCTGGCCCGAAATTTTACCTGTTTTGTTTTTCTCTGTATCGACGAGGAGGAAGCCAACTCCGTGATTTCCATGCTCTCTCAGGGTTTCGAACGCACTCATTGGACTACTTGACTACTAAATCTCTGGTCATCTCTAATCGCCAATGCAGCTGCTGCCACTCACTTTCTGAGAATACTTGCCGTCCATCCAACTTACTCAGGAACCTTCAACTCACCATCATGACGCCCTCATGTATTGTGATTCTCGTTCTCTTTGTGATTCCGATTCCACGTTCTTTCAACTTGGTCTTAGGTGTCTGGAGTTTGGCTAGCTTTCGTATATCAATCTCAGTGTTTTTAGCGTTTGTTTTTTCTGAGCATTGACAGAGTCATCTTACAGGTCTCCATCCAGTCGGACGTCAATTTCCTCCACCAGTTTCTTGACAGAGAAGCCTATACTTTGTGGGACTTTCTAGTTATGCAAATGAACTAGTTGACTGTTTCATCTCGGTTTCTTTTTGTCCCTCTCCGATTTTCAACATCTGTGCTCCACTACTTCTTACCTTCCCCGTCATTCTTATCTGACCGACATCGGTTCTCTGCTTTTTTGCATCGCCATTTATTCGAGTGTATTTTTAGAGCGTAATTTCAACTCGCTTTATTCCCGATTTTGGGATAGACCTCGTCCTTTCGACATGGGAGAGGCGTTTTATTGCACTTCAATGTTCCTTTCCTGCTTTTTTGCTGAAAGCCTCGCTGTCGAGGTGCGCTACTGTGCCGGACCATTTTACAATAATTTCATATTTGCACTGTGTAATTTCGTATGACCATTTTGTTCCGAATCTTACAAGGGGATTCTGCAAGATTTGAGTCAGACACGGGAATATAGACCCCCCACCCCCCCAACAGTACTACAGGTGACTTCACGCTAAATTCCAGGGGAGTGCCCATTGTCGTGCCTTAACTTTAACAGTAGCACTTGCACCAACCATAACTCCAACACTGACTCACATAAACCTAGACGTAGCCCTAATCTGGTCCCTCCTAATCCTAGCACGAACCCTAACTCTAACCCCCTGGACTTCATTTCAGCCTCACCTGTATTACGCGGATCCATATCCCTGTGCGCAGCCGAACATTGTTTCATCGGGGATCGGTTTTGCCAGTCTTGTGAGTGGGGTCCCTGATTAATATAGTGTTTCGCGATGCTAACCTTATTATGACCCGAATAGAAGCATAACGTAGACAGCGCTCAGCTAGTGCCTCCAGCGGTCATCCTCGTTATTCAGTCCCATACATTTCCTCGCCATGTCAATTGACATGAAACCCCCGACCTGCTCAACCGTTGTGAGTCGAACCTTCGTCGAAAATAGAATAAATTCGAAGGGTATACCTTATTCCGCGGCTTAAAATTCCCAGCAGTTATCTACTTTCCTTCTGTCAACCCATATTTACCCAACACCCCTGGCATGCTCTCGCCAGTTGTCTGTCCTCTAGATGATTTTTTTTAGTTTAGCTCGCATGTCACAAGCTGTCTCTGCCACAGATCTTGGAGATAACCACTCGAAAGCTCAGCACTACTGGGCAACATGGAGCTCCCGAGCTGGCTTCTTGCGTGCAGCACCGGCCATTTCTAAGTATCTGGGTGGGCAGCTGGGGTTGCGTAGCTCACTGTCTGTCTGATACCCCGTTTTGGGTATTTAGCCCAAGGAATTTCTGCATGACTCATTGTCTTCTCACAACTGACAAACGTTTTGCCTAATAAGTCATCTGTGATGAATAATTATTATTTGTTGTGGCGAAATTTAATTCATTAAAATATTGGCCAGACTAATTTTCGTCATAATAGTACTTCTATTTTGTGTAAATGAGAAATGCAACCTGCCACATGCTGTCTTGTTTAATTTCCGAGGAAATTAATACGCAAACTTGGAGTAAATCCTTCAGAAGAGAGGTTTTCAAGCTCGGTTCGGAAGTTCTCGAATGTAATTGTTTGAACTGAATCGCATTGACTACTGTGGAACAGTTGTGTAATATTCATAAGTTTTCGAAAGATAGTCAGCAGTATACCAGTACTATGTGGTTTACAATACTGACAGCTGGTACCTGAGCTGTCAGTGTGGTAAACTACTCAGTACCTGCTGCCATCTCCGACAAAACGCTCCTCGGAATCAGCATTCAAAAAGGGTAGTAAATTGCTGGTTTCCCATATCTGAAACTGTTTTACAGTTCTTTACGCATCGACAAATGGTGAGAGATTAGGCTTTGCTCTCAAGCAACGCTTTTTGTCAAAATTTAAGGAATATGGTTGATGTAACTAGGTAGATACGCAATTGACAATAGAAGTTTAAAGTGACCCCGAATGACGAGTAGTTTCCTGCTCTAAGAAATTCCTGTAATAAAATCGACTTTGTACCTGCAGCACGATCACAATAAGCTAAAATCCTACTGGATGAACCAGTTAACTTTCTGGCAGATTACCAAGTAGAGACTACAACTCGAGGAAACAGGAACCGACGCAAGACAGCTACTGACTCTTCTCAGGTGTACTGCATGGCAGGCCTAGTCAGGTAAATCTAACCATGCAGTCAGCATTGCTCGCCCGTCTTTGAGGGCTTCACTTAGTTTCATTCACGCACCCCCCCCTCTCTATCTTCCATGGTCACCTGCTCTTCATTAATTCCGCAAACTATTTTCAGGCATCAGCATCTGATTTAGGCTATTCACGATGAATATTTCCATTCGACCTTTGTTTAGGCAGCGTATAAAATTCCGTTCTGTATGGTGTTATGGTGTGTTTGAACGTCTCCAATCCTAACCTTAATTGAAAGTGGGAGGCTAGACGTAACCCTTTTGCGTTTGTAGTAGTTCGGCAGGAGACAGTCGTTGCGAACGGCTAAAGTCTGCGTAGGCTTTGCGCATCAGAGCGGGTCCAGGAGCAACGTGCGTAGGCTCAAGTTTCACAATCGCAACATTTAACGTTCTACCCCACGTATTAGCTGCCGAAGTGGACTGGCTGGTGTAGTGCATTCGTCGTGTTGAGGTCTGTTAGAATGGCCTCATTTGCCACTTGCACGCAAGTTCTGCCCCACTATCTGGACACTGTTGGTTATATTAACTAAAAAACAAATGTGAAAGTCATCCAGCTTTGGCTGCCACTTATGTTAGCTGTAAATGTGTGAGAACGTTCTGCATTCTAAGCGATGCTATAGATAAAATACGGAAAAGACCATTAGCTTTGGAACGGTACCTTCAGGCATACTAGCCGTCGTCCACCTGTCTTCCAATCACATGTTTGGGCAAACCGGAGTTAGAAATCCAACTCTTCAGTCATTGAAGCTTCAAGGTAATCTAGGCGGACGCTTCCATTGGTCAGTTGGGTCGGTGGACTTCTTCTTCAGAATAATATCTGATTAATGAATTGCCTAGAGTAGCAGATAAAAGTTATACCAATCGGGATTTTACAGAGATAATGGTGTCGGAGGCTACGCCGTAGAACTAAGATGTATGTGATTCCACGGTTGGTCAAAGGCGGCCTACACCTCACACAAGTTCTCTCTCCCTCTTTCTCTGTCGTCGAGTTGCTTTATGAAAATCATTCCGTTCTACCTCCATGTTTCGAAAGGAGTCCAAATTCTTTGATTACGGTCCTGGTGCACCGGAATCGAGTATTTAGTAAGACGAATTGACTTCGAGGTACTGAGTCACGGAAACGCCTCCCACTTTCCATTTTCGTCCAAAAGATGGGCTTGAATCAAGTTATTTCGCACTTAAGCCGTTTTATGCTTTTCGTCGCAATTTCGCTCAGAATGCACGACCTAATTCTTCAAAGAAAGTGGACGAACAGTCATTTAGTATATGATAGATATCCGGATGGTAGTTCTCTGACGCAAACTACAGTTTTTTTTATAATATTCAGTTCATATTAAAGGTGGCAAGTTTATCTGATACCGAGAATGCCGTCCTTCTGCAGATGACTTTAAACGCACTGGAAAGCTAGCATGCTAGGCACACACATACACGGGCGGCCCATTTGCATTGTCTGGATCCTGTCCCTTCACCAGTCTTTGCAGTTCTGGCGCAACCTACAAATAATTCTGGGGTTTGCGGTTCTGCTACCTTTTACATCTTCTGGATTGGCCTTGGTCTCGCCTCCTGATTCTCGCCGGCGCATTCGATATGAGACTTTATTCTAGTCTGACATATTTCATGGAGTAAGTGGGTTTGACTATTCTCGGTACCACAGCTACCTCAACCGAATGGATTTTATCGGCCCTTCAGTGGAATAAGGGTGAGTATTTGCAATAAAACGCATAGGTAAACATGCGTGAGAGCAGTTCCCATGAGGACCTTGCTGACTATTAGTGTAGATCGACAACGAGGATGGTTTGGCCGATCCTCATGGAGAAACCTCGGACATATGCATGGTTTGCATAAAATAAAAGCCTAGGTGGATGCGGGAGGCGCCTGGCCAAGGCAACGGTAGGTTGAGGGACTCCACTTAGCTGTCGGTAGACTGTTGATCGTGTCATACGGGAGTAGTGATGATGGTTGTTTTTACGTGTGAGACAGCACGCCAGACAGTAGCTGACGGAATGAAAGAAAACAGAAATTGTTTTGGTTTTTGCCAAAAGTCTTATTGCACGCTTTCGTGTGGCAGCGGGAATGAACGCGTTGATTAAAAAAATGATGAAAAGCCAATTTTTGAAGAATAACGAAGTCCGGGTAGTGGTTTAAGGTCAGGGGAATTAATTGTTGTTGGCAACGTAAGGTCTGCAACGGCCTGCATATGAATGCCAAGATAAAACCCCAGATGACACGATGCACAGCTACCGAAGGTTTAGTGGGGCATTTTGCACTACCTTTGCCGGGCGTCAATTCCTCGTAAGGCAATCTCTTTTTCTTTAAACAGAGCCAATGTTAACCAGGAAAGCGATTTCTGGCAGGACGATCAGGCACAATCACCATTTCGCGTCTGGTTCGCTGACATGCCTGAGGACGCCCAGTTCTAATTCACGCAAACTGTAATGCATCTCGAATCAAGTACGTATCTCAGGACGACACCCACAATTGCTTACTGGCATCACTCGTTTCAACCATCGCACTGTCTGACAGGGATACTCGAAAACATGT